CCTGTAGCTGGCTACAAAATAATTTATTCTGTAGCCACTTTGAGTTACGATAATTACTATATTAATTTACGAGATTATAGTAACTCTTTACTAAGTGGTTTACTATAACGTTCTTGTAAATATCATCATATGTTATAGTAACCCCACTATCGTAAATACGTATTGACATTATCGTAAATTAGTATATAAAATTATCGTAAATGGAGGATATTTACCATAATATTATAGTAAACCACTTAGTAAGGAGTTACTGTAATCTCGTAAATTAACATAGTAATTATCGTAACTCAAAGTTGCTACATAATAAATTATTTTGTATTTTGTAGCCAGCTACAGGGTAGTAGTTATATATATATATATATATATATATATATATATATATATATATATATATATATATATATATATATATATACACACACACACACACGCCATACGCGCGCGCGTAGTGTGGGTTCTCTTCTCTGCACACGAGATGGGCGTCAGGTTGATTAGCGGATTACATGAGTGGACCCGTTAAGAAAATAAACCAGTCGTATTTTTTAGCTATTGTTGTTGGATCCCACCGTCTGACTCATTTCATTTATTCGCGACGCTCTACCGGGTCGAAGAGAGACGGAGGCTACCCGTGGAGGCGTGTGCTGGCGACGGCGGCCCGACCGTGGTGGCGTGTGTGCCACCCACTCCAACAATGCGCCCGCTGGATCTGCGCGCGGCCTCCACATCAAGTGACAACATCTTCGACGTCGGCGCCGGCCGTGCTCGCGACCGCGCCCCTCCCCCTCCGATGGCGGCGGCGGCAGGCTCCCAACACCACCGATGGCCCTAGCGGTGCACGACCTGACCCGCAGGCACGACATCAGCCTCGCCCCGCTCCTTCACCGACCGGCGGCGCGTGGCACCGCCCCTTCCTCGACCCACGGCCGCGCATTGTCGCTCCCCTTCCCCGACCTTCGGCGAGGATCGGCGAGGGCCGCGACGGGAAGGCAAGGGCGGTGAGGTTGGGAGATCGCACATCCTCTCCATCGGCATCCTCCCCCAGCGGCAGTGCGGCACCGGAGCAGCATGGAGGCATGGCACTGCTGTGGCCAGCCTATGGCTTTGGATTGCGCAGAAACAGGTTGGCCGCTGGCTAGGTTGCACGCTTGTTGCCTGCCTTACTGCCGTGTTCGTGTCCCATGAGACATGCGACGGTGGCGGCGGCTTCGCTCAGCTCTGGTAGGCGGCCATGGCGTGCCTGCTAGCCTATAATCGAAGATCCTGATGCGGCGTCCATTCACTGGTGCATTAAATCAAGTTATAAGATCTCCCGCTCTTTCTATTAGATTGATTTATTTGTCCCTAATCCTAGCTAATCTCCTGAGTATATGGATATACTGTTTCAAGTACAAAGGTATGCAAATATACTCATTTTTCTAATTGAAGTATGCACCCATACTTTATTCACGCAAATATGTATGTACTTCAAGTTAATATGTATGTACTAATACTTTGTCAAAACTAGTATATGGTTATACTCTTCAAGTACAAAAGTATGCAAATATACTTATTTTTCTAATTAAAGTATTCACCCATACTTTATTCACGCAAATACATATGTGCTTCATGTTAATGTGTGTATACACTAATACTATCAAAAAGTTGTACACAAGCTTAACAATTTTTCTCTTGAAAAAATGCTGATGGAAGTACATATACCCTATAGATAAACACTAAAACAATCATATATGTATATACTCCCAACTGGATATTGTCATATATGCACGTATATATACTTGATCCATTGGTATAAGGACGTATACTCATTAAAAAGTCTAAACGCATACTCCCTAGCATGTATCCACATATACTATACTTGTTTTAGGGTACATGGACATACTCTAATTTTAAAAGTATAAACGCATACTATCATATGTACATATACTTGCCAAGAATGGTTTACACTATCTTTATACACAATAAACAACATTTTTTTTGGGTGGCATGTAGCCATCACCCGAGATCTAGGAGATTAGCTCCCGTGCATGTATGCATGCATGCAGTTCAGGGGGCTAATCAATAGAGATTTGCAAATGTCGAAGATGGGATGAAATGGGAGGCTGATAAATACCACATAAAATCACTACGGGGGGCTGCTGCCCTAGCCTGTGGCCAATGTATGCATGCTACTGTGGGATGGGATCCGGTGGCTGCATTGAAACCCGATTAGAAGAGGGAGTAATTACTCCTGGAAGTACAGAGAACACACCCTATATATATACACACACGAATCTACGTGGAGTCGCCGGGGTCGCATGACCCCGATGGTTTTCTACGAATCCATTATATGTGTATTTTTTCACCAGCTATGACCCCGGTAAAAAAAATACGATGAGCCCGGCGGCCCAGCAACAATAACACTATAGCAGCCCAACACAGCCCAAGAGAGAAGGCCGAGAGTCACACAGAAAGTCGAAACATTGCACGATTCTTCTCCCGTCGTCAGACCTTCCGCCTTCGAAACGTCCGTGTCGGCGCTCTCGTCGTCGTTCCGTGATTGCAGCCGTCGCTCGGTGTTGACGGCGACGGACGGGCGGACGGCCACCGTCGCCGCCGCCCTCCGAGTATCCGTTTATTCAATCCTGCTCAAGTACGGAATATCTCCGGTTCCCCTATAAGTATTCTACCGAGGTAACCTAAAGATATCTTAGAGGCTATGTCAGAGGTGCAGTTAACAAAACAGAAATTTCAACAAATTAGAGATGATGGTTGGGATTCCATACTAAGTTCTGTGCTATCTTTTTTGAAGAACATGGCATCCCAAAGTTAGACATGGAACAATAGTACATTGATAGACACAAACCAAGGAAGAAGACCAACCACACCAACTATCAACACTACAAATATGATTGCTTGAACCCAGTTATTGATTTACAGCTTGTAGAGTTTAATGACCGTTTCGACGAGGTAAATTCTGAATTGCTTACCAACATTGTTGCTTTTAGTCCAAAGAATTCTTTTGATGCATTCAAAATTGAGAGTTTGATGGAATTGGCTAAGGCATATCCTGATGATTTTGATCCAAGGGACCTAGATGATCTTATTATTGAGCTTAATTTTTACATCGACAATGTGCGAGCTGATGCTAGATTTGCCCAAGTGGCCACTATTTTCTGAGCTTGGTAAACTGATGGTGGATACAAACAAAAATCTTTCTTTTCCTTTGGTATATCGGCTCCTCAAACTTGTGATAGTTCTTCCTATTACGACGGCGTCGGTGGAAAGGTGTTTCTCAGTAGTGAAAATTGTGAAGACGGACCTGCGAAACCGAATCGGCGATGGATTTACGAATGATTGTGTCATTTGCTTCGTTGAGCAAGAATTTCTTGATGCAATTCCAAATGATAATATCATAGTTCGTTTTCAGAATATGGATGATCGCACTCGCAGGGTGAAACTATAAGAGGTAACCACTTTTGTAAAATAGTTTTTTTCGTCATATTATGTTATTGTCACATTTATCCCGTATGAATGCTTACTATTTACATTATATTATTTTTTTATATATGGTGTTAGATTATTGTCAACTATAGTTATGGCTCTAAGTATAGTCCGACCCAGCGACGATTTATCCTAGATTCGCCCCATATATGTTCAGTTTTTCCCCTAAAGTTTACTTCTTATCTCATGAATGTTTGACACATGCATGGAGTAGACTAAAAAAATAACTAATTACACAGTTTGTGACTAATTTGTGAGACGAATGTTTTCAGCCTAATTAGTCTATGATTTGACACGTGGCGCTACAATAACACATGTGCTAATGAAGGATTAATTAGGCTTAATAAATTCGTCTCGAGGATTAATGATGGATTCTATAATTTATTTTTTTATTAGTACCTGAACATCTGACACATCAAAACTTTATATGCGGATTTAAACAAGGCCATACTATACTAGCCAATTTGCCTTTTAAACCAAGATTCCTGTTGCTGCTACGACACTTTCTGCATTCCTGGTTCGTGCTCCCGTAGTCCCGTCCCTGTGTTCCGAACGGGACAGACATGTACGTTGCCATCGTACGGGGAGGCCATAAAAGTTCGGTCGAGAACTCGAGATCCCAAGCCAGATCAGCTCAGCGATGCGAGTACTACTCCTACGCCTACACGGCAAGGCGTAGTAGACGTCTATCTAGTCCCAGAGTACCCAACCGGGGAGCAGCAATCGTAGACGGACGGCGAGGCCACGCTAGCCAAGCCAGCGACCGCACCCGCTTCACGGCTTCGCCTCCGCCGCAGCTTCTTCTTTCCTCCACCCCATTCGCAAACAAACCCAAAGCGAACACAGAGCAGCAACCGATTCCAAATCCGTCGCTGCTTAGCTTTATCCCTTCCCAGTTCCCCCTCTTCGTCTCGTCTCAGAAATACGCCAGACGATTAGTGTTAGCATCTGGATTCCATTAATTCTTCTCTCAAAAACGAAGCAGGAGGTAAAGCGTATTTCACCTAATCCCTTCCCCCCCTCGTCCTCGTCTCGTCCAGCGAAAAAAAAGGAGAGAGAGAAAAAAAAAAGACGAAACCGCAAGCAAACCCTCGCTTTCTCCGATCGAATTGCTCGTCCCCGTGCAACCACCACCGGTTCGGCGGCTCCCCACCACCAGTCCTCTCCTCCCCGCGCCGGATGATCTAGGCCTCTCGCCCGCGCGCACCGATTTCCCCCCACCTCGAGCTCTCCTCCCCGCCCGCGGCCATGGCGAGCACCTGAGGATACGGTCGGTGGGCTGTTTCTTTGCGAGAGTCCCCCCGAGTCCTCCCCACAGAAACAGCCCGGGGGCATCAGCGATCGATTCCTTCTTCGGAGCGCCTTAATTTGGTCTGGTCTGATTGCCCTGATTGGTGGTTTCGTCTCGGCCTCGGCTTCCTCAACTAGCTAGCTTGGAAGCCAAGTCTGGGCTTGCTGCTTCGTGTGGCTTGCATCTGGGGAGGCGGTAGCGTGCACGGGTGAATTCCCGGACCGAACTCATGCGGGACGGCGCGCAGGCTCCTCGCGGCGGCGGGGGCTTCTTCTCGGCAAGGTCGCTCTCCAACTACATGAGGATCGTCTCGTCGGGGGCGTCCACGGCCGCCTCCACGCTGCGCTCGGCGGGGGCGTCGCTGGTGAACTCCATGGCCAACCACGAGGAGGATGGAAGTCGTGACCAGGTTCGTTTACTTGCTTAATCGACATACTAGTATGTCGCTCCCGGCTCCCCTACTTTTTTTTAGTTTATATAATACCAATGCTAATTATTGGGCACTGAGGAGGCTTTTAGTTGGTTCACGTGTGCATTAGTTAAAATGAGCTAAAAAGTGTATTTATGGCTGGAAGACACTTCCATTTCTGTTTCTGCCCCCAAGTCATACCTACTAGGATTTGTAGTTATTGTCAGTTTTTCATGCATTTATGCTGACCATCAGTATATACCGACTCTGTTGTTTGAACTAGATGCTCTTTTAGTACTTCGTCTGATCTCCATTTAGGTTTGTCATTAGTCAAACTATTTAACTTCGACTATCAATTTTTAAAATTTAACATAGATCGATAACAGAATTCACAATTTTACTAGATTCATTATGAAAAATACTGTCATAATATATATCTCTTCCCATTTATAAGAAAACATACTTTTAAAGATATTGCTATACAAAATGTCATACTGGAGACCGTGCTGATCGGAGGGACTAGTGTATTATTTTAGTAGTTAGTCGTGCTTGTTCAGAACTAAGAAGTTTGTAAATATGCTGAGATGATTTGGGTATTATCATACAAGCCAAGCTGCAGATATGTAACCTTGCTGCTTTCACAAATAGTCAAGTTAGCTTTGGGTCCTGCTTTTAATTTTTGGGATTCGAAAGTCCTTTGGTCAAGACAAGGACATTATGACACTGTATATTCTACATCCTTTTATTCCCCCTAATGGTATGTTATTATAGTAAATTGTTATAATTTCAAGTTGAGGACAGAAGTTATGCTATGGTTTACTGAGTTATGGATTCCCACTTTGTCATGAAAACTGAACTTCAATTTCACCATGGTCCCTACAGTATGTAAGATAGACTCCAATGCTTAGCAAAAAGTTGGTTATGAACTGTGACTTCACATCAGAGTTCCATGTTGGAAAATATATTATAGTAGAAAATAAAAAATATTCTCCACATTTTAGTTCTTCAGTCACCCAACCATGCAAAATTCTATGTATTCTTTCACAACTTTTTGTTTATTTGTACACATCATTCTTTATGCATGTTTTGAGTTATATTGAAATTGACCATCTTTGGCTCTTTGCATAGTGAGTATAAAACAAATAGCAGTTTCTATATGTTTGTTGCTTACAGTCATGTAAGCTGTATGAAGGGCGGGCTTGGTGCAAGCGGTAGAGTCTTACCGCCTGTGACCGGAAGGTCCCGGGTTCGAGTCGCGGTCTCCTCGCATTGCACAGGCGAGGTTAAGGCTTGCCACTAACACCCTTCCCCAGACCCCGCACAGAGCGGGAGCTCTCTGCACTGGGTACGCCCTTTTTAGTCATGTGAGCTGTATATACATCAGATCAATGAATGATGCACCTAGGGCTTGCGGTTTTCACTTTTTGAGTATTATAATCCATGTAAACAATGAGCTAAAACCCTTCTTATCTGTCATGATTTGCAGGTACAATGGGCTGGCTTTGATAAAATTGAATGTGGGGATGGCTTGCTACGGCAAGTTTTGTTGCTGGCTTACAAATCTGGCTTCCAAGTGTGGGATGTGGAACATGCTGATGATGTAAGACAGCTAGAATCCAGACACGATGGTGCTGTTTCGTTTATTCAAGTGCTAAAGGATCCAATTTTCACAACAAATTCTGGAGACAGATTTGCAGATGCATGGCCATTGCTAGCCCTTGCCTGTGAAGGAACTCACACAGGAGGTGGAAACAACCATGATACTAATGTTCCTATTTTTGATGGAACCAATGGTGCTTTCCATAGTATAGGCGGTGAAAACCTTCCTACTGTCATACGATTTTATTCACTGAGAACCCATGAATATGTGCATACATTGAGGTTCAGATCAGCTGTTTATTCCATAAGGTGCAGTCCGAGAGTTGTAGCTATTTCACAGGCTACTCAGGTATGCAATTTTCGCTGTTCCGAAGCAGTTTTTGGATCATGAGTGGTCCTGATGGGAAAAATACCTTTTGCAGATACATTGTTTTGATGCCGCGACCATGGAGAGAGAATATACTGTTCTTACCAGTCCTACAGTTGCACAAGTTTCAGGTTATGGCCCACTTGGATTGGGCCCTAGATGGATTGCGTACTCTGGGATTCCAGTTCCGGTTCCAGATACTGGACGTGTTAGCCCTCAGCTTCTTAGTCTGTCTCCCTTTGTTCCACCTCCTGGTTCAAATGGTAGTGTGGTGGCATATTATGCAAAAGAATCAAGCAAGCAACTGGCTGCCGGCATTGCAACACTTGGTGAGGTTGGATATAAGAAGCTGTCCAAGTACTATGCAGATTTCATTCCAAATGGTAATGGTACCATAAAGCAAAGAGGTTCTGGCTACAAAGCAAACGGAGTAACAAACGGCCACCTCATTGACAGTGAATATGCTGGAACGGTATGGACCTCTTCATTGACATATTTTCATCGTTAATTTTGTTATCCCGGAGTTGGCAATAAACTTGGTTAACACTGTTGCGAGCATTACCATGTCATCTCTGTATACTAGTATAAGTAAGAACCAACCAACCCTAAGGCTGTTAGGGACCTCGGAACCCACCTGGCCAGTTCGCTAACAATTTGATGATGTGGCCATTCTTCTCAGGAGTTGGCCAAGGCTGATCTTCTATCTCCTGCATTTGTATACATGCTTTACAGAAATAATACCCGTGGCAGATTGTGTACTTCACTTTACAAACCTGGCATTTTGTTCAGTTATTTGCTTTCAGCCAGTAAAGTGAGAACAATATTGTCCATCGAAACTAGACGAGATAGTGTAGCAGGTAAGGTGGATAGTTTGTTCTTGGTTTGGAAATTCAAAAGTAGAGTAGCCTGATGGATGTGGGTGGATGGAAATTTTCTTATCTCCGTGATTAAGTATTCAGCGTATACAAATGTTCTTTTATTTTTGCCATTACAAGTTCAATTAATATGATTATGCCGTATTTTTCTTTACTTATTTCACAGAATGTTGATATTGCAATGGCAGGTCATTGTTCGAGATATTGTCTCTAAATTATTGATAGTTCAGTTCAGGGCACACACTAGTCCAATTTCTGCACTTTGCTTTGATCCAAGTGGAACTTTGCTGGTGACAGCATCTGTTCATGGTCAAAACATGAATGTTTTCCGCATTATACCTCCACATGGGACATCAGAAGCTGGTCAAATTGGAACCTATGTTCATCTGTACAAATTGCAAAGAGGCATAACCAATGCGGTAAGCTGGCATACCTATTTATTGCTCATTATCTGTAAAGTTAGTTGACCTGTAAAAGTATCACTTCTCTTTCAGATCATAAAAGACATCAGCTTTAGTGATGATAGTGACTGGATAATGATTAGCTCTTCAAGAGGAACTAGTCATCTGTTTTCAATCTCTCCATATAGTGGATCAACAAGATTCCGTTACAGTGATAACAATCCTGCAGAGAATGATTACATTGTGGATTCATCAGTTAATCATACTGGTCATTGGTCCCAAAATTCAGCAACCTCTTTGAGTCTCAGTCAGAAGACTCTCTTTGTATCTGGACCCCCTGTCACATTGTCTGTTGTTAGTAGGATAAGGAATGGGAGTAACATGTTTAAGGGTGCTGTCCATGGCGCTGCCGCATTTGCAACTGGTGCTTCCAGTCCAATTTCTGGTGCTATTGCTTCAACATTTCACAACTGCAAGGGTGGTGACATTAATTCAGATGGCAGTTCGCGAATGAAATATTATTTACTAGTATTTTCTCCATCAGGAAGCATCATACAGTATGTTCTCCATCTCTCAGCTGAACAGGATTCTGGATTTGATTTCCCAACAAGCCCCATTTCTTATGGGCCAGAGAGAGAAACTGATACAAAATTTGTTATTGAAGCTCTTCAGAAGTGGGATGTTTGTTATAAAAGAAATAGAAGAGACAGCGCTGAGAGTTTTGCATATAGTGATTTTGAGAATGGAGAAAATAATAAACTTTTCCTGAAAGCTATGAGGAAAGGGACTAGTGTCTACCCATTTGACTCTTCTGCTGTTGAAAGACAAAAGCTCAGTGCTGATGAAAATCGTAATTTCTATATGTCTCAGAGTGAGTTGCAGACTCATGTTGTGCAAACTCCACTCTGGTCTAGATCTGGGGTATTTTCTTGCACCTTTTTCCCTTTCAATGCTGCATTTATTTTTTCTGTTTGATTGACATGCTGTGACTTATAAATTGCAATGCCTGCTTATTGACTGATGCCAGATACACTTTCAAGCTATGGAGGGTGAAACTTTAGAAGCAGACAATGCTGATGTTATTTCAGGGGAAGTTGAAGTAGAAAAAATCCAGACCCATAACATAGAATCAAGGTCAAAGAATCTCATACCAGTCTTTGACTCCCTCCATGCATCAAGGTTTCAACAGACAAGGTATGTTCAAAGCTTACACTTGAGCACTTCTTGTTAGTGGTTGATTAATGCTAATATTGCTACATAAGGTATTTCATCTATATGGTTGATAAAGGCTGGCTAATTTTTGTTGGATAGTTCAGGCCTTTATCCTTATTTTGGAAATTGCTGCTATTCTTTTGTCTGATTAGATTTGTTGGATACTTTTACCCTCCAGGTTGAACACTCCTGATAACAACAGGTATGGACTGCTGCAGCGACAGAAGTCTGGGATTTCAGAAGATGGTAGACTCTCTCGCAGAAGCAGCTGTAGTTCTTTGGATTGCATGTCTGAAGGGCCCAAAAGCTCTGATGATGGTGCTTTCAGTAAATATGTAGTAGACGATAACAGTTCTGCTGTAAATAACAATCCAAGTGTTAAATTCCATGCCGAGCTTGTAAATAATACTGGGAGCCTTAAGTCAGAGGCCCAGCTCGGATTTGTAAATAGCAAAGAGGATGGTGAAGATGGAGAGCAACTCCCAGACTTGTGATATTGACTCTGTCAAGGTAAGTGCTTTAACTTACATGAGATAATGCGTTTGATAATTGATATCCTGCCATTCAAATATTTATCTCTGTATCTTATAAAAGCAAACCTCACTTGCTTTCAATCTCAACATGCTTGTAGATGATCGATGGTGATGGAGGAGCATCTTTAATCGCTGAAGTCTTCATTGTGCGTGTGTAACTGAATTCTTTCATTTCTCCATCCGGAGTTCTTTACCTCTCTTCTATAGTTCTATTCATAGGCATTCATGAAAATTTTACCGAGAGAAAAGATAGAAAGGGAGGTTGAATTGTGGCCCTATGGGTGTGGAAGCTTTGGTGATGTGAGTTGAGTATCTTAGAAGAATTTGTACATAAATAACATGATTGTTCATTGCATCTGCAATAATAGCACGTAATTTGTGAATATTTAAATGCTATTGTGTCCAACTGAGCTACGAGACATCTTCCACCAGTTCAGAAGTGCCTTTTCTTTTGTATAGGTTGCAATCCCTTCTGTAGGTTGCAACTGGTTGAACAGAGGATGTCATCCAGATGACCCATTTACTCTCCATTTTGAATGCTTTCAACTTTCCTTGGTAATTGAATTCTCAATGTCTAGAAAATTGCATCTGTAGTTTTTTAATATAAAAATACTGTAGCCTCTAGCCTCTGTTCTAATACAACGAATGGAGGAGGTGAAGTGTTTTGTACTGTTTCATACTTATTCATTGATTTAGCGCTGAACTTTGTTTATTGTGGGCTTAAACAATTATTATGAAATGGATGGGTAAACTGAATAGCTGATGATTTTTTTTTGATGGAACGCTGATGATAGAAATTGGCCAGGAATATAAAGTTGAGGTACGAATCGCACGAATTGGTACCCATACAGAAAAAGTTGATTTTTTTTTTTCATGGGACATCTACTCCAAACAACATACCTGAAAAGCCAATGCTATTGTCAACTCATTGCCTCCGATTCAGCTGTTGAATTGCTCACAACAATTCTTTTTCTTTTTCTGTAAAAGCTAATCACCGTGTTCGCTCGTTGGTTTCAGCCAGCCCAAATCAGTCAGTCAATAATGTTTTCCTCTCACAATAAACCAGCACCAGCCAACCCAAACCAACTTAGAAACCAACCAGCGAACAGGTCGAATGTCTTTTACCCTCTGGGGATGCAGGATGAATAGTGTTAGAATAATTTAGGCCCCGGTAGCTTCGCTGAAAAGCCATGAATGAAAGTACTGTTTATTGATTTGTTGTGAGAGGAAAACACTGTTCCTTCGCTGAAACAGTACGGCTCATAAGACCATAGAAAAGGGCCTTAGCATGGGGCAATGACCTTTCCAAACTACTATTATACTTAGCCAAATAATGTCATTGCGAATTTCCCTAACAACAAAACATGTCTCTTTCTATATCTGTGATGACACTTCAAAACTTATCGGTCGGCTTATCAGCTAGAATCTACAGTATTTTTCTCTCACAACAAAACAGTTTTAGCCGGCTGATAAGTCGGCTTTAATACCAGCCGAACAGGCCCTTTCTTACAAGTCTTAACCTAGTCTATCAGCCGGCTTTAATACCAGCCGAACAATCCCTTTCTTACATGTCTTAACCCAGTCTTGTGTGTGAGAGACAAGATTCAATGCGTATAAAAGTAGTCACAGACATATCTCCTCTCTGTTCTCAGAAGCAAACAGAGGCCGAAGCCGAAGATGACGCGGACTACTCAGCTCTTCCCTCTTGTCGTGGCCGCAGTCGCGGTTTCCTTCTTGTCAGCAGCGGCCGCGTCCAACACCACCACCTCGTCACTCCAAAGCCTCCTCGCCGAAGTGTCGCAGTGGCGGGAAACCCACCTGCGCGACCCTTCCTCGCACCCGGGCGGCGGCGCGGCGCATGCTGGCGTCCGTCCGAACACCGTCGTGGCATGGGCGCTGTCCTTCCTAGCCGCGTCCGTGTCGAGCGCCGGCGGCGTGGGCGGCGGGTCGCTGTTCCTGCCCATCCTGAACCTGGTGGCGGGGCTGAGCCTGAAGCGCGCCACCGCCTACTCGTCCTTCATGGTCACGGGCGGCGCGGCCTCGAACGTGCTCTACAACCTCGCGTGCACGGGCATGGCGGGCCGCGGCGGCGGGAGGCTGATCGACTACGACATCGCGCTGCTGTTCCAGCCGTGCCTGCTCCTGGGCGTGAGCATCGGGGTGGTGTGCAACGTCGTGTTCCCGGAGTGGCTCATCACCCTGCTCTTCTCCCTGTTCCTCGCCTTCTGCACCGCCAAGACGTGCCGCGCGGGAGTCAAGATCTGGCGGTCCGAGAGCGGCGGGACCGGGGCCAGGGCCGCGCGCGGCGACCACCACCACCACGGCAAGGAGCCCCTGCTGCTGCGGTTGCCCCGCGGCACCAGCGACGCCGACGCCGAGGGCGGCCGCGGAAATGGCGCGGGGTTCCCGTGGGCGGACGTGGCGCTGCTAGTCATGGTCTGGCTCTGCTTCTTCGCGCTCCATGTCCTCATTGGAGATAAGCACGGGAAGGTACGTGTTCCGTCGCGCGTGAGCTTCTGCCTCTCGATCGGCATATCGTCGTTAACAAAGAGAGAGAGAGAGAGAGAGAGAGAGAGAGAGAGAATCATCTAAGGGTAAGGGAAAACCAATGGCCTGTACAACCTCGCTGCCACGCTGCGTATGAACTCTTTTTTCCCGCCGTTACCAGCATGGTTGTGCACGGCTGCCCAGCCACGGAACTACGGAAGCGACACCCGCACATCTCAAGGCACTGTATGGCCATGCCCGTAAGCACAGACATGGAGGAGCCAGTAACTGGGAAACGGATCGATGAGATCATGAGAGGCACAAGCAAGAAAGTAATGTGTCTTTCGTATGCCTTGTCATTGTGTGCCTGCATTATGCGCCTTTTTCTCTCCAAAATAATAGCGGAAAGTAGTGCCTGGCCCTGTCCGTTTTCTGTTGCATTTTGCTTTTCTGCCTGGAACGTCTCAGTCGTTTTTACCCGATAGTAACCGGCCTTATCGTGCTGCCTCTCCTTTTGCCTTGTCGGAGTCCTATCCAATCCTATTCCTGCCTACTATTAGGGCCTGTTTAGTTCCATCCAAAAGTCAAAATTTTTTGCGCAGTATCCATCACATCGAATCTTGCGGCACATGCATGGAGTACTAAATGTAGACGAAAAAAAAACTAATTACACAGTTGGGTGAGAAATCGCGAGACGAAACTTTCGAACCTAATTAGTCCATAATTAGACACTAATTACCAAATACAAACAAAATGCTACAGTACCCAAAACCAAAACTTTTTGCCAACTAAACAGGCCCTTAGATCATGCCTAGATCATCATCTCGTACCTCCTCCATCCTAGAATAATAATGCGTATTTCGTACAGCAAATTTTGAGAAAACAATTCCATAAAAAATTTGTATTCAAAGTGTCTCTAATATGATATTGTCCTTAGCAAATAACAAGAGAAATTAGTGGTCGAAATCTATTTTATGGACTTTTTTGCTGAAAAGATACGTTTATCATTTCAGAAAACGCAGGGAGTAAGGCTAGGTCCACCGGAAAGTTAAATATCCCGGAACAGATTGCTAAATGCGATCTGTCCAGCCACTAACCTAGTGAATTAGTTAGCGTCAAATGCATGTTTGCGGCAGGCCGACTTCGCTCTGGGAGTCTGGAGGCATTTTTGAATCCTTTCATCCGAATTAAGGACTTAAAATGTTAGACTACCCACAGTGTGGTGAAATACCGATGCCTGAAACCCATTTTTCATCCAAGCATCGGTGCTTGCACACTGCAGGAGTAAATTCAAGCAGCGAAAACTTTGGCACCGAGGAAAGTAGGTTCACCGGTGCTTGCTTTGAAAAGGAATATATGGTCCCACATGTAAGTGATATAAAGATCTGACAAGAGTTATGAGGGGAGAGAATAAACTATTGTTTGTTTAATTATTTGAGGCACCGGTACACTGTGGCATAAATGAAAGTTGAAGCATCGGCTATGATTTGACATTTGAAGCCACGGTACACTGTGGCAAGTTGCTAATGCAATGCAAGTATGCAACTCGCAGGATAAATGTTTCTTAAATTTCAGTGCTCGTAGACGTCAATCATGGCACATACTCCCTCCGTCCCGTTAAGATTGTCGCTCGGGAAGCGGGATTGTGAGGGGGGCACGATTTTCCAACGACAAACTCAATGGGACGGAGGGAGTACATTGTTCTCGTCCAGATATTTCAGTGGAACAAGCAGAGAAACTGTATCTTAGGTGCACAGGGTGTGATCAGGAATAGACAGATCCTGCGGCGTCGCATACTACTTATCACCTTGTTCCAGCTACCTGCCGCTGTGGCTTCCACTGGGTTAAATACTTAAATAGCCCAGAACATCTTGCTGAATTCAATTTGATTTTGTCCAGCCATTAATCTGGCGAATGGTCAGCGTCAACTGCGTGCATGTTTGTGGCAAGCCGACTTCGCTCTGGGGCAGGTAGCTAACATCATAGTCCTAACATCATGCTTCTCCACGTTCACTGTATACAAATTCAGAGCTCTGAAAATGTTAATGGCAAGTTGGCAATGCAATGCAACTCGCAGGGCAAATGTTTGTTAACTTACAGTGCTTGCAGACGTCAGTCATGGCAGATGCATTGTCCTCGTTCAGATATACTCCTATATTCCAGTCCAACAACTCAACAAGACTCATCTTATCTGCACAGGGCGTGATCAGGATTAGACCCTGCGGCGTCGCCTACTGGCTTATCACCTTGTTCCAGCTACCTGCCGCTGTGGCTTTCACAGGGTATATTATATACGCCAAGAGGAAGAAACACGTTGTTCATAGCCAAGACCAAGAGGATGGCAAGGTAGCATGGAGATTTTGTCTTTATTATACTGTTGTTGTGGCAAAGCTCAAAGCAACTTGGATTGATGCTGACATGGTCACGCAGGCAGATCTTGTGGACACAGGAGTGGAAACCACCTTGCCATCACTTACACTCCCGCTCGCCGCTTTCGTCACCGGGGCTCTGAGTGGCCTCTTCGGCATTGGAGGAGGACTGCTTCTGAACCCTGTTCTTCAGATCGGAATACCCCCGCAGGTACACAACGCACCAGGCATTCGCATTCTTAATCTTGCTGCTCCATATATATAGGTACCAGTGAATCACAGCATTTCTAATCTATCTATCTATCTGCAGACGGCGGCAGCGACGTCTTCGTTCATGGTCCTGTTCTGTGCGTCCATGTCCGTTCATCCTGCTGGGCGTGGAGGGCATCGGGCAGGCGTCCATCTACGCTGGGATATGCTTCGTTGCCTCGGTCGTTGGGGTCGTCGTGATCGAGCGAGCCATCAGGAAGTCCGGGCGGGTCTCTCTCATCGTGTTCCTGGTCACCGCCATCATGGCGCTCAGCACTGTGATCGTCACCTGCTTCGGAGCGCTAGATGTCTGGATGCAGTACACCAGCGGGGAGTACATGGGCTTCAAGTTACCTTGCCGACATGGCATCTTCGATGGTGAGAGAACTGCTTGGTGTTACTGTTATGGGCTTCGTTTTGGCTTGGCCTTTTTATATGGCTTTCTGAAGGAAGGTTTTGCATTTGTGCTCTTCACCTTGTGATGTCTGGTTTGGGGCTTAACCTTGTACTGAATTAATTTTCATATCGGTGAGCTTTCTGGAAAGAGGCAGGACTGGCTGTGGGCACTGATTGTTTTTTTTATTAAGGACGGCAAAAGCTTTGCCTTTATTTTTATTAGACAGAAAAAAATAAAAAAAAGAGGTTTTAGTACGACACGGCTACTCAACTAAGCGCTTCAGCCGGGGTTGAAAGAAACACCAAAACAAGATAAAAAGCCTCCAACCACTCCAAATAAAAATAAAAACCGACTGAAGCGCATCCCACTAACGCCTGTGAAGGACAAAAACCCTCAAGGGAGCAACCGAAACTGAAAACCAAACGACTAACTCGCGGCCGTTCTAGGAAGCATTGTCACGTTGTATTGGTTGATATCATCTTTGCATAAACTTTTTTTCTCGAATATGCAAAATATTTGCATATCATTGTATTAAGTAGAAGAGCTTAAACAAACAAACATACAGCGCGCTTCTATCGAGCGCCGAAGGAGGTCGACCTAACACAGCCGTAGCTGGACTATCCTAGCAAAATACCTTTTATTTCGATAATACATAAAAGAAAACAACCAAAACCGACGCAGCGGTGCGACCTAGGAGGTGGCCTTGCATCTTCGCGGCTGCTTGGACGGATCCTTTCCAACGGACGGGAAGAGCGCATCCATCGCCTCGGTCTCCGACGCAATCAGGTTGCCGTCGAAGAGCTTGTCAAAGGCCTCCACCTCCGACGCTGATGGCGCTGATGGGCCCTTGATGTATCCCATACGCTGCATGATCAGCACCTCACCTCGCTTGGAAGTAGGTACTCAGGACAGGCTCTGAGCCACCAACCGCCTGCTCCGCCACGGCAGCACCGGCTTAGCTTAGTAGGCGGCTGGTTGGGAGGCTCACGAATCAACGGAGAGTCCCTCTTATACACCACTGCCTTGGTGAAGTTGTCAAGGCGGCGCATGAAGGAGGCGTCGTCGTTAACTGTATGGTGGTTGTCCCCCGACGACGTACTTGGGTCCGCCTGCACCGGACCGAAGCCTAGTGGGTAACCCTCTTCGCCCACCGTGGGCACATCAATGCCCGAGGGGTCGTCGAACACCAACCGCTTTGGCGTGACCTGTGACTGCCCCTGCTGAGGCGACACCGGGGCGAGGCTGGGCGTGGGGGTGGTATCCGCCGCGTCGAGTCGGCATGCTGTAACGGCGTCTGCGTGCAAACACAGGAGACCACCGTCGGGGCCTCATCCTCTAGTGGGGTGACCGATGGAGGCCACGTGACGCCCCGACTGCTAGCGAGCATAGCCGCGAGCTCCACCAGCATCGGGTCCTCCGTGATGTCGTGATCAACTGTGGCGTCCGTGCGCAGCATCAGCATTAGTGGGTCGAGCTCGACGAAGACCGTCGTGCCGGTCAGCTCACCATGTCCGGCCTAGGCATCAGTAGCGACAGATGTGCCGTCCGACGTCGCTGGAGCGGCCCCAGCCGAACGACCGTGGCTCCTCCGTCGCCGCCGTCGGCGTCGACGACGTCAGTGTCATTGTCCTTTACCGTAGCGCCCATCCACGCTTGGAATGGCTTCGCTCGGGCCTGGCATACCTCCCTCTGCTCCTAAGCCCAGTGTAGCGGCGTGAGAGCGTGGCTGGTCGCGGCGACACTGGGAAGGACGTCGACGGTGTGCGCCTAAGTCGCCAGGTATGTCGTTCCTTGCCGAACTCGCCCTCCGCGGCCACTTCCAATCACGCACGCGGTGGCGAAAGCCCTTGCAACGCAGAGGCAGCCTGTAGGTCACCACCCTGTGCGAGGTGGAGAGGCAATTGAAGCATTTCCCTTGCAACTCTGCTGGGAAACAGAGCACTGGATGCGGCGGTCACGGCGGGGAGCCTCATCATGACCTCCAGACGGCCCACGTGAAAGGACCTCACGCCAGCCGTCGGCGTCAGGAGCGGAGAGGTGTTGTCAGCCACCAGAAGTAGGCTGAGGTCCTGGCCTTCGATGAACAGGCCGACGCTGTGCGCGAACGTGAGCATCCTGACCGGTCCCGCTGCTGTTGTCCCGACCTCGGACATGAAGCCCGTGGACGAGCTGAGGGCGTGGCCGCCAACGGTTGGGCGATTTCCCCGTCTCCCGACCCATGACCTAACGGTGGTCCCATCGCGCGTGCCCCTGGCGATGGCGGAGCGCGTCGGGGCATGCCCCGGCAACGGCGACGACCATAGCTATGGCTCCTGCCGAACGGCATTGAGGTCCGACAGCCCCTCGACGATACAGGTGTGCGGCTGGGAACTGGCCCCTGCCTCTAGGCCTGCTTGTACCGGAGAGCCCCAGCGTACAATGTCGAGGTAGGACCCCCAAGATGGCGGCGCGGACTTGGCGTCGGTGTCGTAGTTAGAGACGTCGGACTCCTCGGACCATCTCATGGCCTTGGAGCACCCTAGGGTCCTGGTGGGGAAGAAAGGGGTGGCGTTAGGGGAGAGGGTGGCTGGCCCCGTGTACCTGTGGAGGAGGTCGAGGGTGGCTGGGTGGTCGCCGGTGCCAGGGCGGCGGCCGGCGGGCTGCGGAGATGGGAGATGGGGGACCGGTGCTAGATCCCACGGCCGTCGGGGCGCATGGGGTTGCCTTCGCTGCCGCAGACCCGCCGTCCGCGCCGCTGGCCACGAAGGTGGCTTCTTCGGTGGCATTGGTGGCGGGATTCGGCGTGGACGCCACTCGGGAGACTGGAGGCGGCGATGAAGAGGCTGGAGACGGCGGAGGGGGCATCTATGTCGATGATGCTGTGGGCCCTATTGGCGAAGGCGGCGCCCGAGCGTCTTCCCCGTGAGCGGCTAGGACCTCGGCATCCTTGCCCTGGAGCCATCAGAAGGGTAGGAGAGGGCCGCCGGTGCCAGGGATCTGGCCGCCGGCGGCGGCGGCGTTGGGGAGCCGTATCCTCCTGGCGGCGCAGATCTGTAGCCTGAGGGAGTAGCGGTGGAGTCTGGGCCTGTGTTGGAGGGAGCAGGGAGGTGGAGGGAGGAGGAGGGGGTGGGGGAGGGGGCCGCCGGCGGCGCGGGGTGGGGAGCGGCCGCCAGGGGAGCCGCCCCTACGGGAGCCGCATCGGGTCCGCCGCCCAACAAACTCCACGCCCCAATTCCTCTCCTTGCATAAACTAGCTACTTCTCTTGGACTCCTTGTCTTCTGTTCGAATGTTCTTCTATTACGCTCCTTCCAAATATGCCGCCAAAAAATATATAATGGTTCCATCAAACACTTTCTCCAGTAATTGTAGATAGAACCAGCTTGGTTTATATTCCTGAGGTGTGACTTACAATTTTTCAGGTTTTAAGGCCCCATTCGCTTCGCATCGCGACCCGTTACTGTTCATCTACAGTGATATTAGTCTGTGTGCGCCCTGGATGAACAGTGATTCGGATGTGATAGCCCTCGAATTTATAGTCTCTTATAGATGCTTTGAGCTGTCCAAAAAGATACACATGTGAAGGTTCAGGAATACTGCTATTCGTAGTTACAACCATTTTAGTACAACTAAGTATCTAACAGTTAAAGTAATTTGGATGGTAAGCTTATAAATGCATGGAATGGTTCACATGAATGGTTGTACTTGAGTTGAACGCGAAATTATTTTAGGTCAAGCATTTCCATATGTTGAGCAAGGCTTTGGCACGATTACGCTGATTGGTTTTGTGCAAACAGGAACGGTCAACAAGGTAGGTTTAGTTTTGTTGGCCAGTTGTTTGTTTCTGAATGAATTTATTAGGTATTTTCCTGCTACTCTTGAGAAAGACATGATCATATTAGTTTAATTAGTACCAATAAGAGCATGCCAGGAATGATCAGCGAAATTACTAAAGTTCTACTGATTGTACTGAGCTGTCATTAACACCATAAGAAACCTGTATACCGCGGCATCCATGGCGGAACTAGAGAACTGTGCCTCCTTTGCAGTAGCCCTGGCGGAATCAGACAGCTCGATCCCGAGGAACAACGGCTCCGGTACCAGTTGTCACCGTCCTCAGCCAAATCCAACACGAAGAACAATACAGTAACACAAATCGACTCTCTAGAACACACTAGATTGTTCCGAGTACATGGACTGGTAGTTGGAAGGAGGAACGAGGAAGAAGGATTAAGGGAAGGGGATCACTCTAGCCGAAGCTAGCCTCGAGCAATCGCTCGCCTCGACTCAAGCTTGCGCTTGCCGCCGCCGGTTCTGTGGTCGGTTCTTGACAATTCCTCTGCTCTGTATTTGTATTGTGCGACATCTCCCGTGGCTTCCTTCTTGGGCCAGGATAAGTCTGGCGCTACAGCCCACTCGCTTCTCCAACCTGTTGCCTATAGTCCATGAGGTCCATGACACAAACTTTCTGCCGCTGAATAGTGAATACGAGCTGTGGCTTTGTATGGACGCTGTGAAAATAAACTACTGAAGACATGGCCAGTGTAGTGGACTAGTGGCTGGCGTGAATGAATATTCTGTGTGTGTTGTGTACATGCATATCCGACGCTTCCATGATGTTTGGTTTCAGATTTTTGTGCGTCCCCTGTCAGGGTCCGGGAAGAACTCCACTGCAGCCAGCAGCCGAGCAGGTCATGAACGACTAGCCTGGCCAGTGGCCACGGACTCTCCAACGTGACGTGGCCGTTCGTCCCCCTCCCGATCCGCCGTGCAAGCCGGCAGCGGCAAGGGCGCGCGTGCGGGCGTGCCATACTGCCATCCTCCGCTTTTGCCAAAAGCGAGCCCAATTTTGCTCTGTCCCCGGGCGCTTTTGGGGCGCACTTGCGATCAGCCGCTGCGCTGCGCTCGCACGCGCGCACATGCACGGCAGGAGAGTGCTTTTTATTTTTTTTCCTTTTTTTTAAGTTTGTCACAAATATGTCTCCGGATGTATGTTTTTAAAATCTAGACCCTCAGCTCGGCGCCGCAGTAATTGGCGCCGAGATTACACGTCTCGGCGCCATAGTAATTGGCGCCTAGGTCTTGTACCCACGCTGGCGCCGAGGCAG